CCATTGTCAATAGAAGATTTTAAAAATGACTTTGGGTTTGACACAAAGTTAAACTCCAGATTCCGACCAAGTAGAGGTTGCTCTGTTCTGGGAAACTGCATAAACAAACACCCCGAACTTACTGATGAGTATACTTTTTAATATTTTTTTGAAAATGTATATTATGATAGGCCGGGTACATCAAAAGCAATTAAAACTTCAAATGATAGTGACTGCAACTGATTGTTAAAGTTATAGCCAATATATTAGTTGGTGACAGATTAATTAATTATGCTTTGACCTTTTAACCACATTGTGCTTATAGACTGTGGTTGTGTTTGTTCACTATACGAGAACGACACATCCCAGCTGTATTAACATAAAAATCCATTGTATAATCAATGAAGGAAGTGCTGTCCTAGATACTATGCATTGCATAAAAAGGTTAGCAGCCTGTCAGTTATTAGTGTCGTAGTGATTTATCAAAAAATGCACAAGGCGATAAGGTAAGAAGAACAAAACGAGCTTTGAAAAACGTTTCTCCTAAGAGCTTGAGATGACAGCACCGCAGATGATGCAGAGACTCAAACTTTGTGGTGCAAAAACAACAAAACGCATGAATAATGCGATGCAGATTGAATACATTTCTTTTTGCTATTCTCGTATCTGTTCCATCACTTCCCACTGTGCCCTACCCAATAAAGCAGAAACACTATTAAAACAATCTTTCTGAAAGTAATTACTTTTTCTCCTGATCATCAGAATTTCACAAGGCAGTAGACCTTGAGAGGTCGGTCTTTACCTGTTTTAAGGCAGCAGCCGTTCGCTGTAAATATATAAGATATTGCCTTTCGCAAAATAAGTATATTAAATCAGATTATGTGCAAACAGTGAAATCATCCCGAAAAAGAAGAAGGATGCCTACAAGAATAAAGAAAAACTTAACATGAAAGATGGTACCGAGTGCAGCTGATGTGATAGCTTTGTCCCAGCTCATTGATAAGAAAGGCAGTAAGAGTTCGGTAATATTTTGCCCTATTATCCTGAAATAGATCAAACCATCTGAGACAGTTGGCTTTGTGAAATCAACTGTGTTCTTTAGTCTGAAATATTTGTAGGAGGTAACATTATGTAAACTAGCAAGGCCAGGCCTGCAGTGCTTGTTTATTCTTCATTATATCATTGTATATAGTGTGACACTAAACACAGCTGAAAGTGTTTGTTACATTAATAACTTCTTAAAATGCTAATTTGTCTTGTTTCTTCAGATTTCGATCAAACAAGAATCTATGGCAGAAAAAAACAGTTTGGCATCGGCAGAGAAGATTTTGCCGAAAAGAGACGTTTTTCTTCCCGTAACCCACTTACTCAACTCTGCTGCTCAACCCACAAATGCAATTTCCTTACACATTTGGCAGCATTTAAGGGCAAATAAAAAAGCTTCCAACAGTACCCTGCAATAATACATGATTCCCAACATTTCTTTCAACTGTTGTATTGAATAGGGGTATTGGGCTGTGAGGGCTGTGAATTTCTAATGGTACTGGTACCATCTGCTAAATACCTGGAATCAACACATACCTGACTGGAATCAAATTTATAACATATCAATTTTAACTGTGATTTTTTTTTTAAATATTCATTACTTAGATGCAAAACCCTGCTAAAGATACCGAATAACTTGCTTGTTACCTTAAAAGTAATTTGTGTGGCCTGAGAGAACTTCTTAGTCACAGACTTAGTCATGAGCCAAGCTGACCTATGATATAATCCAAAACAAATAATCATCAAATCTGTCATCTTATTAGGAAGTTCCAAATGTCCAAATGATTCAAGTTGTTTTTCCCTATTTCTTATCTCTAGATTAGGTGGTAAGATGGTAAGAGGAAAGCTTCGCTTGACCTTGATGGGAGAGATGCCTAAGGGATCCTTACAATACGGACCTACTGCATATTCAAGGAAAGCTTGTCAAAAGATTTTCTTTTCCAGAGTATAATAAGAAAAAGCTTTTTGGAGATATAAAGATACCAGCGTTTTTCTTGCTGCATCTTTATTCAGCCTTTAAAAGTTAGTCTGTGATATACCAAGAAAATCCCACTGTGAAACGGAAAGGCGTGCATACTATATTGCGGACTTTTATCACTTTAAAGCCAGAAAACAAAGGGACTGATGAATATTGTTTAGACTAAAGCTTTGCGTTTTGCCTCACACACAAAATATCTTTTTTCTGTGTTTTTTTTAAACTGCAGAAGCAGATGTTGTAATTATTTCATGCTAATTAGCCAACTTCTTGTCTTCTCAGCAGGTGGGATATCAGGTAAAGATGGAGACAATTATTTATTTATTTATTTATTTATGTGGACCACATCCAGCTCCTGTGTGGTGAAATCACACATCAAAATAACCCAGCTATTGCTATTTAATCACCATTCTGAACCCCTGGTCCAATTAGCCATCTCTAACGAGCTCATAGAGATGTGTTTTAAAGTTTTCCCTTTCATGTCACTGCTCAGAGAATCCGTTTAAAATGAACAAGCGAAGAGATATCCCGCATGCGATTCCTCGCTAGACATTGATGTTTGTGTTTTTCCAGGATGGACAGAAATGAGGAAGTGTAGAGTAACAGTGTGTGATGGCTGGGGTTCTTTCCTCTGCATACACGTGCACAGAAACGTTCGACCTCCCTTGCCGCTTGCATCTGTTACCATGGCGATGAGAGGCGTAGAAATGATAGCCCTGAGGCTCGTTAGGGCCAGTGTCAAAACTAGTGATGTGCAGCTAGTGTCCAAATATTCCTCCTGCAGTCTTCATATCTGTTCTCAGCATCCTTTCTATAGCAAACTGAGAAGTCCTGATGACCAGAAAAAAAGCCGCCTGCAGTTTTTCCTCATCGCTTTCCTCCCTGCAATGTTACATTAGCAATTAGCAAAGTTACTCATGCTACAGCTGCCATCAAAGCGCTCTTAACAGCAACATTAGACTTTTCTAGTTAGAAATTCCACTACAGAGCAATCTGCATCAGAATATTCTCTTCCTGCATCTGATTTATTCATGAGAGCGAACAAAGCAATCAGATGAGGAAATCTCCCAAGTGATAGGTTCATGTGTGTTTTGTGCACCACAGAGTGTCGGGAAGTGCTTTGACTTTATTCATTCCCAGCTAGATGATTACTCTCCAACGCTGGCATTAGTTTGTGTTAGAAGCTCCCACCTTGCATGTGCTTGAGGGTATACATATATATATATATATATATGCACCCCAATGTCTTATGTCCCCACATGTTGGGCTTCAAAGCCTTTTCCTTGCACTGCAACTACCTTCTCTTGAAGACTTTATGCAATTTAAATGCTCATATTCCACTCTGATTGCACAGGGGCTGGGGGGTATGATCAACACATGGACAAACCAAGAAACACCTGGTGCTCTGCTAGGGTATCATTATGGTAGCACCAGTTTATACACGTCCTGCTCGGATCAAAACAAAGCAGTGCACTTTGGTGACTTAATCAGGCTGGCTCTGCCTCACATATTCACTGTAGCTCTGAGTCACTGCCTGCACTTTGTAAGTGTGAAAGAGTTAGGCCAGACAGACAGAGAGAGGTTTGTTTTTGCAGGGGTTTTTTGTGAGGACTGTTCTGGTGTGTTCACACTGGTCAGCAGCGCTGGGAGATTCCTGCTGTGACTGTGGGGCTCAGCTAAACCTAAAGCTCTTAATTTAATGTGATCTCCAGTGTGTGTGTGTGTGCATGTGCATCCGTGCGTTTGTGTGCATGTTTGTGTTTTCCCCAGGGCTTCTGCTGTATGCGTGCTCACAGAATAATGTCACATCACAGTGGCAGAGAAGACAGTCAGCTACCTTTTGTTCTCTAATAAAAAAAAAACCTTAAGGGAAATTTATTTCCTGTCAGCTGACATCATTTTTAATCATATATTTATTTTCTCATCCACCTGTGTATTTTTTTCTTTGTTTCAGGAAAGAGTGCTCATATACAACAGATTTTGTTTCCCCTCCCTCATTGCAGAAGAGATTATTTCTGAGTAGATGTGATAAGAAAGATGAAAATGAGATGCTACTACATTAAATTATCTATTGATTTGATTTTATTCTTGTTGTATGTCGGAATGTTACCATGTCTTACTGTGAATTCCTCCACAGTTTATTTCTGAGGTTTGCTGGGGCTGATCGCTGTTCTAGGTCATATCAGTAGCTAGCAGATTAGACTTGCTAAATTTCAGGGCCATGGGAATGAAAATAAACAAGAAGGATCTGGTTACAGTGGCCGTTTCCTCACACTTTCCCCCAGCCCCCGCTTATTCTGCCTGTCCGCTCCTCTTTATGAATGTTTGCATTGCGAGATGAGCTTTAAGTAGGCAAAGCTTGGTTTCGAGGTCAGACTTGCAGATGAGGCATTTGAATGTCCTCACTGAGACAGGTTTTCACTGCTTGGGCATTTTGATTAAAACTATAAAATGGATCTTCTGGGGGGCAAAATGTTTAATTTCTTTGTTCGTGTACTTTATGGATCGGCATCTCACATGAAAAGCCCATTTCCTGCACCTTCTTCAGAGTCTTCTGAAACATGCTGACTGAATTCTGGGACTTGTAACTGTTGTGTCTGTCGGTGGATAGCAAAGCAGAACAAGAAAAGCGATGCTAACATCAACTGGCCAGCTATGTGACAGTGCCAGAAGCATTATGCTATGTGTGATTTAGAGTGCTGTGGGTTTCACTGTGAAGTTATGTACCTGCCTGTGAATAACAGAATAACCGTGCATTATTCTCACATGGCCTATCGATATGCTGACATTGTCTGCTCCTCTGTGCGCTTGTTGTAAGCCACTTTCAAGACATGCAATAATCTATTGTCAGAATTTTTTAATTACATGTGGCAAATGGCATGAGAAACTGTAGTTAGACCTCCACCTAGTGGCAATCTATTCCCACACCCCCAGATCAGGGAATAAGTGACACATTTCTGGTAATGTTTAAGCCTTTCATGTGTCTTGTGAACCTTTTTAGGAGGGGAAGAAAAAGTTCGATAAAGAAACAGAGAAATACTACTCTACACTTGAGAGACACCTCAGCTTGTCATCCAAAAAGAAGGAAGCATATCTGCAGGAGGTAAAAGGAAAAACTAATTTTCTCATCCTGCAAACGTGTCTTTGAATAATGCCGTTTTATGGTCAGCCGAGTGTCTTTGGAAAATAAGCTGTTTGTGTGCTTTGCTGTGCTCCTTACCCCTCTCTCTAACAACAGACTATTTCCACGTGGTGATACAAACATTAACTGCTAGGTTGACGCTTGTCGTCGTTGTGGCACTAACCCTGGTTTGTTTGCTCGTTCTCAGGCTGACATGCAGATTGACAAGGAGAGACAACTCTTTTATGATGCGTCCCTTGAGTATGTCTTCAAAATACAAGAAGTGCAAGAAAAGAAGAAATTTGAGTTTGTCGAGCCAGTAAGTGAAGTGCCAGTTTTATGTATTTCTCTGCTAAATTAGTTCTGCATTTTAAAGATGAAGGAGCGCATTTTCATGCTTTGATATATTTTATTTGTAGTTAAAATACCACCAGATCTCTGTAACTACTACTACATTTCTTTTTTTTTTTAATGTCTATCATCCTGGAGTGAAGGCAGGTGCATTTATACAACACTCACAGGAACATAACCACACTTGTATATCCCACACATTTGTCATCTTCATCACAAATTCTTTGTAATATAGTTGATCCATTTGGGGAAGCTTGTGGGTAAAATTAGATGAAGTATCGGCTGTCAAACAAAAGAAGACAGAGTGCTAGTGCAAATCAAAGGCTTTATGAAAGCCCCTGCTTTATAGATATGTAGAGTCAATTTTAACATCTTTAGTGCAGATGCTACCAGGAAACATTAAATTTGCTTCCTATTAAATGTCTGGGAATGTGAGATGGGTGCAAAGTAGCTGTTTCAGACGTCCTACTCCCATTTGTTTACATCCACTGGCAACTTAGCCACAACCCTGGCCCAAAAATGTAAATCTCCGGGCCCCAGGTAGTGCTCAAAATATGACAAGGCTCAACCTTGTGTGTGATGAATCTGGGCAAAGAAAAGGTGGTTCATCCTTGAACATTTGATATACCAAGCCTCAGCCCAGAAATCAAATCAGTGGTTGTGTCTGAAGGTTTTACTGAAAGCAACTCCATGTTTGTGGACCACACTTGTTCACGCAAGAGATGGCATCAGTTTGTTTATCTGTAACAGTGGATCTTTACGCTTTATGTATGTATGTATTTATTTATTTATATATTTATATGTATCCACAATGGCCATGGATGTTTGTGTGTTCTACAAAAAACAAGATCAATATCTGTCTGCCATAAAAGCAGAAAACTTTTTTAAAATTGGATTTTTTTTTTTCCACTAATATACTTTTTTTTCAGTTTTCTGCTTGTCAGTACAAAGATGTTCAATAAATTATCGATTTAAAAATAATGAGACTCAAATTCCTTCAACGTGAGATTTAAAAGTGAACATCAACAATGTAACAAAAAATGCTGACAAAATGATTGGTAGAATAGAAAACAATGTACATATCATTGAGATGACATTATCATAATAAGTGCATCGTTATCAAATATTAATAACAATAGAAAAATGTCCGGATTACTTATATATTATAGGTAGGATATTCGATTATATGCTATTATAAATGTTTTCGGTGTGTAGAATGGATGTTCTGTTTTACAAGATGCCTTTAAAAAAAACACTCGCCCATGTAAATAGGCAATCAAGTTCTTGTAATGTTTATTAACTCGATAATTCACCAATGAATATTGTTCCATTCCAGCTCCTGGCCTTTCTTCAGGGTTTGTTTACATTCTACCATGAAGGATACGAGCTGGCTCACGAATTTGAGCCGTATAAACAGCAGCTCCAGTTCAACCTACAAAACGTAAGTCTCAACACCTCAGGGGTTGTACACAAAGGCAACCAGCCACGTAATCAGATTCTGCAGCTTATCATACCCTGATATAACAAGCGGAGTTTTCACAAATGGATAGCTGTGTGATTAAATGAAATTCTTTGCTGCGCCGAGGATCGATATTTTCAGTGTTGCATTGCAGGCAGTAACTGTAGGCCATTTTATGGTGTGTCAAAAAAGAATTGGGAGTAAAAGTCTAGTTGCTGCAGTGCCGCCTTGTTCCATCACTATGTCCTCTCTACTTAGGTCCTGATGGTTCAAATATCTCTCTGACCCAATATGTCAGTTCTGTTGCCCTTACAGTTTCCACTCGGTAACCCTCTCTCGGATGCAGAGATTTCTAATGGTTACTGGCTGAATGGAGGCTGCTTCGCCACTCTCTGAGATATTAAATGGCCTGATATTGACCTTTATGACTCCAAATAAGAGGCTGACATCTTCAAGATCGTGTTCTAATTTTAAATGACCTAAAAAGTATTATTTAAAAAGTCTAATGATAGTTTTTATTTATCTGTTCTTTGAGAAAAAACAGATGTGTTTTTATTTTGAGAGATCAGAGATAACACAATGATAACATAACCCTAAATTTTCCCACACAGACACGAAACAACTTTGTGAGCACCAAGCAGGAAGTGGAGAAGCTGATGAAGAGGATAAGGTCGGCAGATCAGGACTATAAACCACCCGGCCAGTGGACGATGGAAGGCTTCTTGTATGTCCAGGAGAAACGTGAGTCTTCCTAGCTGTGCTCCCAACCATCCAGGCCATCTCACTCCCCTTCACTTTCAAGTGAATGGCTTTACATCCATCACCATAAACATGTCTCGAGTTCTCCCAGGCCCCTGCCGAAGAGATCCACTCACACAGAACTCATAATTCATCCTGTTTACGGATTCACTTTGATGTGCTCTCAAATGGGGGAGTTACCACAAATGGTAGATTATTATCAGCAGCAATAAACAACTTTTGATTTATCACACTAAAATTGCAAATTGATTTTCAGAAGTCTTTCCAGAAGCCTGTGATTCAGTGAAAAATTATTTTGCCTCAACTAGTGTTTTCTTCTGCATTTGTTCTGTCCTAGGTCCTCTGGGATGCACTTGGACACGTCACTACTGCACTTATGAGAAAAGCAGCAAAACATTCACCATGAGCAACACTGAAAACAAGTCAGCTGGGAAACAGGTACTTTACATACACTTTATTTTGTTTAGTTTAACATTTGCACGATAAAAAGCTAAGAAAAGAAGGAGCAGAGTGTAATTTGTTTGAAAAAAAAAGAGGCTTAAAGGCATGGTTAGTCCCGGGAGGAGAAAACGGAAAATGCCAGATTGACAAAACTGCAAATTAGGCGTAGAAGACAAAAGACTCGTTACGTCAAGGCAAACAAACATGTTTTATTTTTAAATAACAAAATGAACAAACAACACCGCAGGGGAATTCAAGGAATGAAAATAGTCCGTTAAACTAAACAGTTATAGTATCTTGCTTTCTAAGTGATCTAATGAATGTTTACTTCCTTTGTAGGAATTTATCGCTATGACTTAATGACACTTCATGTAGATCAAATGATAACTGATAAGTATTTCACATTTTATGTATTAGATGAAAAAAAGCTTCCAATCAATCCTTTTTTTGTATGTAGTAATTGGATGATGATATGGAGTAACTTCCACAGGGAATACTGCTTAGCGCTGCTGCGTCAAGTACAAACCGACTGAAAATGTCAGCATGGTTTTGAAGTGTTTAGCTATCGCAGTTTAACCTTTTATTTTTCACAAAAAAGTATTTGTAGAAATACAGGTTCCAGTGACGATAACAAAGAATATGTGCACTTCAGTGCCACACAGATTAAAAAATTATGAAAACATACTTTTAAAGAACTCCAGTAAACTTCAAGGGAGAAATTATATAAAAAAAAATATCCCCATAACTGTGAGTTTCCATGCATTTTTCTGCACATGTTACAGATATGGCTACATTCTGATTTACTAATGATCTCAGTTTCTTTTTATTTTTTGATTAAAACCGAATAAAACACAGAAACCCACACACAGATGGAGCGGGAGAATATAAAGCCCAAAGCCAATGCAGGTGCAGGCGTATTTTTATCCACATATCTGGTTTGTTGCAGTTGGCTACAGTCAGTCTTACTGGCGTGCACAGGGGAGGATGTGCTGTATGTGAGATATGGCTAATTCTCAGAAAGAAAGAACAAAATCCGTTCAGGAGGTAATTGAATTGGTACTTTCAGCGGACACTGAGGGCCTCTATTGGGAAATGAAAAACAAGGTCAATGATATACTGTAATTTTAAAACTCTATTTTCACGTGTTTAAAATCAAGATAATTGAAATAAAAGCTCTGCTTCTTGATAAGTGGATGATATGAATGCGTGCAACCAAGTAGCTCGGGCTTTGTTTGGGCTGACAGCCCAAATCAATTTTTAGGCATATGAAGATTGCATCGAGCTTGAGTTTAGAAAGTCTGAACCACCAAAAAGGAAAAACTAGCAAAACAAAAAGAAAAAGAATTTTGCAAATCCAAACAACAATGGTAAATGCTCTGTTTTTGTTGTTGTCGATGATTAAGTTTTTTTTCATTAGTTTTTCTCTTTTTTCTGTATTTTCAATCATATTTTCACAAAAGCACTGGACACTCCGGATACATAAATCTTCTGTGTCTATCACAACAAACACACAGCATACATATTAGTCATTTCAGACTTGCAGAGCCGTGCATTTGCAATTGTAAATATATTCATTTTCATTCCATAATGATTTTTCATTGTATTTTTAACTAATTAATGATGAGTGTGTTTACTTTTAGAATGGTCTTGTCGTAAATCAGCCAGAGGTGTTCAAGCTCAAGTCCTGCATTCGGAGAAAAACGGACTCCATCGACAAGCGTTTCTGCTTTGATATTGAAGTGGCAGAGAGGTCTGTGATATGTATCCCTGAAAATGTCTAATAGCTTTCATAGGCTGAAAACACATGCAGAATGTATTCTGTATTGCCTTAATCACCACCTAGAACCAAAAAGAAAAAAGAAAGTCATTGCACATCGCCTGCTGAATACTCATATTAGTAAGATAGCAGTTGCACACACTTTTTTCTTGTTAAAACTAACTTAATATAAGAACGACGAACTGCACGTGACATTTTGTGTTATGTTGAACTCACCAATACTGGAAATTAACCCAGATTCCCCCTGGAGTACACAACGTTTGAACATGCGAGAGCTGTTCAGGTTTGATTAACATCTTCAAAGACTCGGTTTAACAGTGTTAGACGTCATCAGCTCTGTTTGTGTCCTGCATGTTTCTCGAGTCCTCTCCCCCCCCACTCCGTTTGCTGTATGTCTACATTATCAGTATTTTTTTTTTCTATTTTTGAACCCATCCCATCTTTTCTCTGTGTTCATGTCAATGTAGAAATGACATCTGTCGTGGAACTCTTTTCAGGCCGCTTCAGTTTTTCTGTAAAGTCCGGTATGTGAACTGACCAGTGCTGCCCTCTCAGTGCAGTTGCATGTGCCGCATGTGTCCTAATCATGTTGTTCACTCAAGATTAAATCCAAACCTAATGAAATCCTGCTGCTTTCTTAGCACTTCACAAAATCTGACTTGGTCACTTGGTCAAGACACATTCTTGAATTATTTCTTCTTCTTGTCTGCAATTACTCAAGTAACACACAATATTGAACTTAGAATTAATTCCTATTTTTTACCCTTTCTTTTCAAAACCTTTGGCCATGTGGGAACATTCACAGTTGATTTGTTTTTAATGTTTCACGGGGAAATAGGATTACAGATTGGGCAATGATCAGAAACCTTTAAGTAGCTGTCAGCTGATTAACACTGGCTCAATTGACCAAGCCATCCGTTCTGAATGCTTGATATCAGTTCTTTATAGTGATTTGTACCCCAGAATAGAGTTAGCACATCACCGTGTGTTAATGTTGCACTGCAGCAGCAGGCTCAGCATTGCTCACGCTCGATGAGTGTTGCTGAGCATGGACAATAACTGCAATTTATTTGCAGGACAACTCATTTATCATTAACTGCGCTGCCCCAAGGTGCGTGTTCCAACCACAAGGACAATGTGGGCCAAGCTCCAGTCAGCTTCAAGCTCATCCATTAATCCCCATTATAATAAACATGCTGTTGCCCAAGTTTAATCAGGCCAGCCATCTCGAAACCTCATTTTTAACGGGTTGATTCACCCGAATTAGTAAAGAGGTATCCAGCTATGCGGATACTTTTATTTGCCCAGATTCTGAGATAGCCATCTCTGAAACATCCTCTGCCAGCCCAATAAAAAGAATTTCATTTGAGCTGCTCGTAGCAATGAAAGAAGAGTTTCATTAAAAATTTACCAGCAACGTGTCTTTCATAAGGACTTAAGGGAAAATACATCCATTAAAAAAATGATATGAGGTTGGATGAGGGTAGCAGAGAAGCTGTTTTGGGAAAGAGATGTTGTTAAATGATTTGAGAGCAACACAAATATAAATATTTCCTTCTGCGTTCACCTGTACGGCTTTGGAGTGTTTAATATTGGACAACTTAAAAGCTGGTGAAATAAATGCTAAACTGTCTGCATGTCAAAATATCAGTTTGGGGTGTTGTTAAAGGTGTAGCACTTTTTTTTGTATTTTGGTTGAAATGACCTTTAACACATGCAAGCTGACACAGCTCCATGCTAGTACTAACTGCCACTACTGGGTGGGGTGACGTTTTTTGTTTGCCGCCATCATCAGATAGCGTTCTATAATTGTGTTACAGCCAAATGAAGCAGTGCCACAAATCAAGGCATAATGCCCCAGATTCTCACTATGCTGCACACAGTAAGGTGAAAGCAGATAAAGCTGTATGCATGTTGGGTGCAACAATGAATCACTCTAATATTAAGAACTTGTAGCTTTTAATTGGAAGGGTAATGTGAAGCTCAAAGTGAACTGAGGGCATAGATTGAAGTCAAGCATTTGCACATGAGCTATTTTAGTTACACTAGTCCTTTTATAGTGGTCTCAGCCAATATAAATATGGTCTGTCCAGGGGCCCCAAGGAAAAGAGATCAGACTGAGACCAGCTTTTCTCTTAAATCTTTCCAGGCATGGCGTTATGACACTGCAGGCACTGTCAGAGTCCAACAGAAGACTGTGGCTCGAGGCCATGGATGGCAGGGAGCCGGTAAGGAACTCTGCCTGTTCTTCTTTGAAATATTCATTCGGTGCTGGCTGCAGTTGGTCAGGTTTTTTTTTAAGTCCTTTGTTTGGCAAGAAGACAATGCCAAAAATGAATTATTTGTCACTGGCACCCTCTTCTGGTGGCTTTCTGTAAGGTTTTTTTGTTGTTGTTTTTAGGAAACCATGACCTCACCATTTACTTGTGCTAATAATAGGACAGTCTACTCAAATTAGATTCAGTGGGAATAAGGTTTTGACATTATCCTTTTCTTTCAGCGATTTTTTTCTGTTTTCAAGCTAAGGTAACCTTTACATTATAATGATTTTTGTAAACTCTCTCTAGATTTACAACCTGCCGGCCATATTAAGCAAAAAAGAAGAGAGTGAGTATTGTTTTTATATCTTTCCAAACTCCTCCAGGGTTAAAATGTATGCCTTTCAAATTCTTAAAACGTGAGATAATGAGATCAACAACATACACACATGAAAGAAATACTCGTTACCTATGACTATGCCTTTTCATTAATACTATGATTTTACATATGCCCACTCAGCAGGCATAGCACAGCCTCACAGTACAGGGCTGTGCTATTAATTTGAGCAGCGGCATAAGGGAGAGCTTATTATCCCAGATGACGGGCGGTTATCCCAGGCAGTAATTGTCCTTTCATTTCTGCTCTTGTTTTGTGTTACAGCATATCTTAATGAGGCAGGCTTCAACTTCGTAAGAAAATGCATTGACCTGGTCGAGATGAGAGGTGAGGTGCTTCAATCTCTCAGCTTTCATGTGTCGAATGATTTGAATGCAACCTGGTTGTAATGATTAACAATGTGCTCGTTAGTGGACTTGACAACACGTTGCACTGGCACGAGTCCTAAATAAACACAGTCTTAGGTCCTTGTTCCAATTCATCCTTTTGCTTTTCTCTCTGCCACACAGGCATAAACACAATGGGACTGTACAGAATTGGAGGCGTCAATTCTAAAGTGCAGAAGCTGATGACTACAGTCTTTTGTAAGTAACTAAAATCAAAAGTATTATCAGTGAACTAATGTACCAAGTCAAACCCCCTTATTCTGTAATTCACAAGTGTCTGAATCTCCATGGTAATGTATGAATAGTTTTCGATTTTCTTGGGTCATAACGTGATCTTTTCCAGCAGAGTGAGGAAAGAGGTCCTCCTTGTGGTAGGACAGTGTAACCGCAATTAGGCCTCATATTATGTTGTCATTATTTTATTGAATTACCCAAGGTAGTCTCGTCTGGATATATATATATATAACACATTTGTACAGGAAATGTCTGAATGAGTTTGGTAAATGTCTCTAAATCTTGACCCCCAGTGCTATGAGACACCACACACGTCACTATTTATTTTCAATTCTCCTTTGAGTCTCTTGACGCAAGAAGAAAGTATTTTCGGTCCTCGGTTGAGCAGCTTGACAGGTCATGTCATGTTGTATTGGTTTCTTAAGACAATTTGCAGCTTAAACTTACCTAGTGGTCATATAACAATAAAACATATTTCCAATAGCATCCAAAGCACCTGTGGATATGGACCTGGACCCAGACATGTGGGACAACAAGACTATCACCAGCGGCCTGAAGAATTACCTCAGGTCAGCTCGCCCCACCATCTACGTGCACTTAAATGTCAGGAGCCATCCTTGCCTCCATAATGCCTCTTTGAAACCTCTCTGATGATAGTCATACGTTAAGTGCTGCGACTGTCTCACCAAGGATGCCAGCTGCATTCACAGGACTTGTGTCACTCAGGAAATAAATTGCAACTGTTTCTTTTTTCTTTTCCATCAGGTGCCTGTCTGAGCCTCTAATGACTTTCAAGCTCCACAAAGATTTTATCATGGCTGTCAGTAAGTTACAGTTATAACATATTACATATTTTATCAAGATCTCTATTATCCTTTCTTTTATAGAACAGATTAGGAAGATATTGGTACAGTTCAAATCATATAGCACTAATGAATCAGGTGCATCTCATAACTAACTAATTATGTTGATTGCAAATGTTAAGCTGGATTTATGTGAAGAGATATTGCATTAGAATTTTGAAAATCTTTATGAAACATTTTGAATTGATTTTAGAGATTTGAGCTTTGTGAGCACTATGTCTGGGTTATCAAAGCAGGGAAAGCAAATGAGTCAGGACTGATCTGATTAAATCATTTCTATCTGAGGAAATACTTGTATGGATCTCAGGTCATCTCAAACTGTGATGT